ACAGAACCAACAGGGGGCGCCTGCGTGGCTCAGTCCCTTGAGTGTCCTACTTTGGCTCAGGTCATATCTCATGGTTTATGAGTTCAAGCCCTGCATTGGGTGGGCTCTCTACTGAGAGCCTGCTTTGGATTCTCTGTCTCCCTCCCTCCCTCGTCCCCTCCCCCCGCTCATGCTCTTTCTTTCTTTCTTTCTTTCTTTCTTTCTTTCTTTCTTTCTCTCTCAAAAATAAATAAACATTAAGAAAAAAAGAAAAAGAAAGAAATAGAACCAACAGGAGATAGGGATTTTTTACAAGGAACTGGCTCACGTGGTTACGGAAGCTGAGAGGTCCCATAATCTGCAAGCTGGGGACCCAGGAGAGCCAGAGTCATAATTCAATCTGAATCCAAAGGGCTGAGAACCACAGGAGGCAATGGTGTAAATACCAGTCCAAGGGCAGGAGGAAACCCGTGTGCCGGCTCCGTAGTCAGGCAGAAGCAGTAGCAAATTCTCCCTTTCTCTGTTTTTTCTCTTCAGGCCCAGAGTGGGTTGGATAAGCCCCCTCCCCCCCCCCCCCCCCACACACACACAGGGGAGAGCAATCTGCTTTACTCTGCTGATTCACATGTTAATCTCATCCAGAAACACCCTTGTGGGGACACATCCAGAAATCGCATGTAAGTCAAGTCTCTGGCCACCCCACGGCCTGGTCAAGCTGATGCATAGATTTAACGGGTGGTTCTCTACATCTATCATTCCTTCTGCATTTATTTGGTAGAATTCTCCTCTAAAGAAGAACTTTCCCTCGTCAACCATTTAATGCCCCTGAAGTATACTTTTTACAAAAAAAAGAATAGATACATAATTCTTTTTCTTGATCAACTATCAGAACAGAGTTGGTGGGTTTGCTACCAATGATTTTCTTTTTGATCGTTAAAAACTCATGGTTTAAAAAAATATTCGGTGTGTTTAAATCCATTGTAGTCAATATCTCTTTTGATACCTAAATTGTCCCATCTTTGGCCAGTGGAAGCCCGTTCCACAATTTGAGCTCCTGTGTCCTTTTGACACGAGAACATTAGTATTTGGTAATTTCGTGGCTTTCTAGCATCACAGGATACCCCAGGCGCATCACGTGCATTTCTTTTCCCGGACCGGCAACGAATCATTTTTTTCCAAGGAGCCCTCTGTCTTGGTCCAGGTTCACTGGAAAACAGAGGTAGAGGTGAGAACATCCATTCTCACACTTAGGCAGGAAGAACGTGGTTGCAGGCAAACAAGGACGGTGAGCAAAGCGACCTGAGGCCGTGAGGGAGATGTTGGCAGGGAGGGTACGTCCGGGCAGCCATAGCTTCACAGTAAACACAGCCAATTGCTTGGTGGGGTAACACCCCTTGAGACAGGAGGTGTGACGCCATGGCATCTCAGAACAGCCTGTTGGTGGGGGGAGGGAGGGAGGCAGCTCATCTTCTGTATTTTTCTCATTTGCTGTGTCACATGCCGTGACCCTCTCTGCGTCCCTGAGCTGTGTTTCCCGGCTCCCGTCACAGGCATAGGGGAAGCCAGAGTCTCTGCGCATCCAGGCCGGTCAGCGTGTAGTTCATGCGGTCTCTCCTGGCCACCGCTGCTCTGCATGGGGACTTCTCAGTGCATGCTGGGAGCACTGGCTGTGGACACAGCTTTACAACCGAGACAACTGTGGGAATGTTGTTAGGGCCGTGTCGGCCAGGAAGCAAGACGAGTGTGCAAGGCCCGTTGGTATAGGTGGGTCAAGGAGATGGGCCCCGGTACATTAACCAGGCCTGTTACGTCCACCCCTCCTGCCTCTCAAATAGGCTTACACCTTGTGACAATGTTCCGATCTCGTGAGGAATGAATTGCCCTCGCTCCTGTCCTGAGAAGGGAAGTACAAGTCCAATGTTTGAAGGCAATTTTCAGTTGCCATCTCCTAAGAAGACCTGAAGAGGCTTAGCAAAGCAAGACACGGTTCCCACCCCCCACCCACAGCTAGTGTGATGGCCAAAATATATCTCACCACGTCATTCCTCTACCCCCTAGTTTCGTTCTATCACTTCCAGCCCAGTTCCTTATTATATTCCTGGTGAAAGCATCCCTGTCTAGGTTCCCAGACCTCTGCTGAAGCTAAAATATTTTGAAATATTTATTTATTTTGAGGGCAGAGGAGGGGTAGGGAGAATCCCAAGCAGGCTCCACGCTGTCAGCACAGAGCCCGACACGGGGGCTTGATCTCACGAACTATGAGATCATGACCTGAGGTGAAATCAAAACAGATGCGTAACCGACTGAGTCACACAGGTGCCTCTGAAGCTAGAATTCTGCATGTCTACTGGGAGTGAGGGTGAGAAGGTCAAGGCTACGTTCACCACTTGGCTTCTGGACCCATGTATTTTAGCACTAGATATTGGCTCTGGTTCAGACTAAGCACTGTGTCCAATGTTGCCATCCCACAAGGCGTCAGTGAGCTGGCCCTTTATCTGTGGCTTCTCCAGGTCTTACCATCATTCCTTATGGGGCTGGTTTTCTCTGGGTGATGAAGTACGTGGAAAACTAGCGTATCTTGTGATTTTGAGCCCACTGTGTCATATCTGCGTTGTAGTTAAGTGTGCTCCCTGGTCTGTGACAATGTAACGTACGATATCATGTCAATAAATTGAGCATCTCGTCATCTCTCAGATGGTGGTGCCGGTGGAGGCACTGTGGGAAGAGTAGGTGGCGATTCTGGTGAGCAAGAATGACTTTCTCATTCCAAAGGAGAAGTCTGATATCAGCTACTTGCCACGAGGAGGTTGGCTAGTTTCCCCCACGAATGGGACCATATTGAGGGATCAGAATCAGTCCCGGCTGCTGGCATGTTAGACATTCAAAATGAGAGCAGATATAATGACAAGGAAGGACTCCGTGTTTGGGGGCCCGTGCCTAGTCTCCTCTCCACCCCTGCAGCCATGGCTACCTAGTTCATGGCCCATTCTGTCAACCCCGCAGAGGCCAAGCAGGGAGGCTGTGGACGCCAAGTAGATATTTTGTGCCCACTCTCGTAAGTCCATTCACGCACCTCTTCCCCAGATTTCCTTGTTCCTGATCTTATTCGGTGTCTCCACCACCATCCCCCACCATCTAAGGGCTGACAAAATGCCTGATCTATCATCAGGGAACACGACACTGCATGACCACAGAACCAAAGAGTACATTTTACTATCAAGCAAGTATGAACACATTGGGCTCAAACCAAAGATAGATTGGTTTTCCATGTACCTCAACACCAAGAGACAATCAACCTGGTAAAAAAAAAAGAATGGCGGAAGGTCCTGGTGAAATGTCAGCTAACAGGCTGGCTCAGGGACACTTTTCAGGGTTGGGACACTGGAGGTGGCATATGGACTGGAGTCTTTTTCCTTCCAGGCCTCAGAACGATGAGCTGAGACATTTGTTACTGACAAGGAGTCAATACTTCCACACAGTAAGCCAAAATACTGCTGGTAGCTTCTGCGTGCTGGGAGAATCTCCTCTACCACTATTTCCGGGGACCATCTCGAAGCGGAGCTGTAACATGCGAGCAGTCCATTCGCGGCTAGAGTCAACACTGTATTAATGCTGCAAGAGCCAGGTCCACATCCTATTGAGTAACTCGAAGGGATGCCAGTTTCAAGTGGTGCTCGGGGCAAAAGAGGGCTCCCAACAGGGGCAGGCAAGCTTCTCCGCCCCTTAGGCTGCGTGACGGAGCAGATCCTAGAGTACTAGAGGTATCTGTGGCCAATACTGACGCTGTGAGGTTTCTAACACGCTTCCGGAAGAGAGATGGCAGCCAAGACCCCTGGAGTTCTGCAGAAGGCCTAGCGTTGATTCTGGGCTCTCCCAGAGATGAAGTGCCTGACCATGGGACACAGAATTGACGGTATGACCCCAGATGTGCATTATGATCTGAGTTTCATCAGGTCCAAGGAGTCATAGGCCAGGTGGGTACAGCCAGCAGTCATCCACTGTACAATAAAAAGGATACATTCACGATTTGGCCCAACCAAACCCAGACGACACAAGGACACGACATGAACAGGTGGCCCGGACTCCCACAGCACCTACTGCTTTTAAACCAACACGTCTCTCAACAGAGCAACGATAAAGAAGGTCTGTGGCTTTCCTTCCCGTGTAAAGAACTGTTTTGGACCTCTGTATTGTTAGGGAGAAAGAAAGAAAGAATTTGCCATCGCAGCAGCCCCATATCGAGTGTCGGAGATACCACAAGTGACAGAGCAGCTGTGTGGCAGTTGGGGCTACCACGTGTTGCCGTTTACAGGAACCCACCCCCCTTCTCCAAGACGCGTCTGGCTTTTGCAAAGGCTGGAAATGTTCATTGGACAGAGATGTGATGGCAACCGCTATCCCTGTATCCTTTCTTTCTTCAAGGGTAACACTGATCTGTAATCCCTCTCAAAATGCCGTATTGCTTCGGATTTACTATGTTGGCCAGGATAAAGGATAGTTTCCACATGGCCCTTCCTATCAAAAGGACTTTTACCCTATCAGCCAGGGAACCGATACAAAGAATCTGCTAAGGATGTGCATTTCATGTATGCATTGTGGTCCGTTTTCATTGGGAACCAGAGAAATAAACAAGGGGTTGGGTCCTTAGACTTTCCTCCCAGTGCACAGTTACAACAGGTCTCTTTGGGGGAAAGACTGGAGAACCATCTACTATGTATACTTGAAACGGCATCACAGGATCCTTCTTCAGGGGGATCCAATCCCCCCTCCTATGGCTTAAGGGTTTGTGGACGTGACTGGTGGGGACTGAGTCAGGGACAGGTATTTTCCATTGTGGCTGCTGAAATTAGCCTTCTGCTTTCCAGTGCTCCGTACTTTCTCATTATAAAAGCTTGAGAAACACTCTGGTTCATCTGCCTCACCGCTAGGAACACCATGATCTGTTAGCCAATGCCCTGTAGGTCAAGGCACGCTGAATGCCACTCTGGCCTTCCTGTCAATTATAGTAATAATGCCTCTTGCCTCTGATGTTAAGTGCTGCCACGTGGCTTTTGCCGTTCCAGAATCCCCCTGTTCCTACTGGAATTAGAAAGCCTAGTTCCACGGTAACATCTTCCATTGTCAACTGGCCTTCAAAGATGCCGGTGGACCTCTCACAAGGGAGATCTCTATTGCTCTACTGAGCGAACCATTGTCTGTGTCCTCCAGAAGTACAGAGTCAGGTGATAGGTTTTCAGGTCTTACGTGGTAAATCCATTCTACCATCAGTGTTTTCCTGAATCTTTTGTCTCCTTTAATAGTCTGCCAAAGCAGTTCCGACATCATTACCTCATTTACTGTAGGTCATTCCCATGTCCAAGTATCAAGGAGCCAAGTTTCTAGGCAACTAGACTGGCTCCAAATACCCTTGTCAAAACTTTGGGTCCCGAGTGATAGGTGTGTGACTTCATATTGTTAGTCCTGTATTCTGCCTCTTCTGCATATCTAATATCCCAAAGATCCACCTGCACATAGGTTTCCCGATCCCTGCTGGTACAACTCAGCCAGTTCGTGGAATTGATTCTGGGTGTAGGTAATTTTCTCCCGGGGTGGGGATTATACTTCCTCATTCAGGCTGTGTGGAGATCTGACCCTGGTTATCAGCCTATGAACAACAAGTTGAGTAGAAGAGGATCTTAAGAAGACCGAGCTTCATTCTGTGAGGCACTTGCTGCAGGTAAGGTCGTGGGTTATTCCGGTATACAGAAAAGGGGAGTCTGTTCTCCTCTGATAAAGGGGATGGGGCTACTTTTTCCAGCCAGGGTAATTCTGAGCAATGTTGAGACTGAAGACTCTCAAGCTCATCCAACCAGGGTTCCCCACCCCGAGCCCCCGGTGTCTGGTCCTGAACCCCATTCTTTCTCTATCTGGCTCTGGCTTTAACACAGGAAATTTATCATGGCTGCACACTTAGCATACTTTGTGCGGCCTGTACAATTCTGAGCCTTTATAATCAGACCCTGGATCTGACGTTTATGCATAGTCTGCCCTTGGGCGGTAGAAGATGAAAACTTTAAGGTTGCCATATAGGCCCTCTGGCTTCCGCAGTGCACCATAAGGTGGCGATGAACCATCCAGAATTTTTCGTTTCTTTTTTAAAGTTTCCGATGCCCTCAAAAGCAGTTTCTCGGGCCAGCCTTTATAATTATTATCACCCCTTATTAATTAAGTTCAGCAGCCACCTGATAATTGAAAACCTCACCTGATCACAATTAACCTCAGGGGACAGCTTTAGTAATTGCAATATCACTCATCAGGGCTTCACTAACCAATAGCAATGGGTGGCTTATTACATCCAGTTGGGGGGACACGCCAGCACAAAATCCCCTCCTGAGAGTCTGCTTCTTAAGGGTCGCTTCTGGTAACGACTGCCTTAGCCTAATTTTGCTAGAAAATGGAATGTGGTACAAACACTCACGCTCTAACAATTCATTGGGGCGCGCAGTCCCAGGAAAGCAAGAGAGGGAGAAAAACAGGAGAGCAGCAGGCAAGGAGGGAGAGTAATCACGGAGGGTAGTTACCGAGCCGGCCTGAGCCTTGCAAAAGCCAAAACCACTTGGGGTCACCGGATAGCACGAGACACTGCTGTGATTCTGATCAACCCACCAGGAAAAAGAAGGGCGAACAACGTTGTCTAGTGTTTCCTTCTTACCGCATATTTTCGCTTGGTATTTGTGCAAAGTGTTGCTATACCCTGAGACGTCAGGGTGGTGCTAACTGGCCCCTCCAAAGAGCTGACAGGGAAGCCGTAACTTCTGCGGGTCCAACTCAGGCAATGTGTACATGCATCATTGTCCCTGTCCCAGCCAGGGCTGCAAAGGGTTCTCCTCACTCTGGTGGCCACGGTAGCAAAGCCAGTGACCATGTCTTTGCAATCACAGAAGCAGCAGGAGGCGACACAGGCGAGCTCTGGTCAGGAAGCAAGGCGAATGACGGAGGCCTGGAGCGACCGGGGGTAAGCCGGATGCAGCAGGTCTGGGGTGCACATAGACTAGGTCAGGCATACCCTGGTTTCTTTCAAAAGGAAATGGGTACTTAGAGCACAATTGAAGCATTAGATGTATTCATTGGTCCAACGTTGTCATTGCCTCAAAAACTTTTCTTTGGGCAGCGAGGATATTTCTCTCTCTTTTAGAAGTAAATTAGGAGTTCATATTGGTATTTCTAATTAAAATGGAAGATTACAGGGACTTACTTGGGTTTATACCTGAGTCTGTTGTGCTGAAAATCTTGGTTTGTAGTGACATTAAGGAACATGCTTATTTGCTGAAGCTACAGGGTGAATGTGGTAGTTTCAAAATAAAAATACTAATCACCCCGCTCCCCGTGTCAGACCATATTAATCTTCAGTTACACGTGGTCCCGATCTCTTCAGTGCTTCTTGCTGACAGAGGAATACACATCCCTGATTTTTTGAACTCAGAGTATGTGACTTTCTTTGGCCAATAAAATCAGATGAAAGAAGAGTGATGGTCACTTCCAGGAGGAGGTTTGAAGAGCCCGAGTATCTTTTCCTTCCGCCTCAATGAGTGGCAAATATTCCACAGATGCTACCGCCCGACTTAGGTCACGGAGGAAAGAGGACACAGATCGGAGCTATAGCTAACATACGATAAACATGTAGTGTGAGGGGAAAAGAAACTTTTATGATTGAAAAGCCACCAAGACTAGGGGTTGTTTATCACCATAGAAATAATCTAATCTAGGGGGCGCCTGGGTGGCTCGGTCGGTTAAGCATCCAACTTCGGCTCAGGTCATGATCTCGTGGTTCGTGGGTTCCAGCCCACATCGGGCTCGCTGCTGTCAGCACAGAGCCCACTTCAGATCCTCTGTCCCCCTCTCTCTGCCCCTCCCACACTCGAGCACTCTCAAACATAAAAATAAACATTAAAACATTTCTAAAACAGTAGTTACTTCTTTCGAGAGAGAGAGAGGGAGAGAGAGAATCCCAAGCAGAGCCCAACATGGGGCTCCATGTTACCAACTGTAAGATCATGGCCTGAGCTGAGATCAGGAGTCAGACACTTAACCGACTGAGCCACCCAGGCGCTCCTACTTAATTTTACTTTCAAATTAAAACATTTACACAGTTCCAAAGTCAAAATTACACAACAAATTCTGTGCAGTTAAGTCTAGGTGCCATCCCTGCCCTCCTATCCGGTTCCTTCTATCTCCTTATAGGTCCCCATTCTTCCTGGTTTTTGGTTTATCCTTCCATTATTACCTATGGATAAGATAAGCAAATATGTTTCTATATTCATATACCCCCTTTCCTACACGAAAGATAGCATACCATAAATACCGTTCTATAACTTGCCTTTCTTAACAATATATCCTGGAAACGATTTCACAGAAGTATATAGAGATCCTTCTTATTTATTTTTACAGTTTTATACCATTCAGTTGTATGAATGCACCATAGGTATTCATGGACATCTGGGTTGTTTCCATTCTTATACTATCACAATTATTGGCAGTGGATATCCTTGTGCTATCTCATTTTATATTTTTACCAGTGTATTTTTTGAGCTAGATCCCAAAAGTGGAATTGCTATGTTAAAAGGTAGGCGAATGTGTAATTTCTCTAGATGGTCCAAATTCTCCTCCAAGGGGTTGTATCCTTTTGTATTTCAGCAACGTACGAGAACCTGTTTCTGGGAGTTTTATTAATGGAACATAGTGTCAGGCCTTGGGTTTTTGCCAATCTGATAGGAAGGAAATGATATCTCGTATAGTTTTAACTTGCATTTTTCATATTCTGAGCAAGTTGAGCCTCTTCCCGTATATTTAGGGGTCATGCACATCCCTTCCCCCCACAAACCATTAATATACTCTGCCCATTTTTCTGCAGGGTTCTGGTGCTTTTGTTCTCAATGTTTAGAAGCTCTTTATCTGTTAGGAATATTTATCTTTCATCTATGATATAGTTTCTATTTTAAATGGTAGGATCCCTATATAGGAGAATCTGGGAACATTTAGCAAAATTACTAATGCGTCTTCCCTTTGACCCAGAAACCGCACTATGACAATGGACTTGATGTGTCAAGCTGTTGACCCAGCAGCTGCCTACCTCTGGGCTTTTTGTCATGTAAGAAAAAGAATCCTTTAAGTGACTGTACTCAGTTTCTAAAATTTTATTGTTACTTGATGCTTTCTGACTTGAATATCAACATCTGTTTTTCTAAATATCAGACTATTGTAAATTGTATTTAAATGTTCTTCCCTGCCCCTAG